GCTCATCGGGAGGAAGCAGAGCACATGACATGACAATGTTCATGTTCTATAGTATCTGGTCCTCCGGTGTTGTTTCTTTAAGCTTGTTTTTTATGTTTGCCTTTGTTGTATCGATTTTAATATATTAGTTGTACTGTATTTATCCCTGCATGTCCACTTTGGACAGAGTAGAGTAATGGGACATTTAAATTAATCTTTACTCTTTTTTCCAGACTGAAATATGCTCAGCCAAGCACACAGAACGGGTAAGCCGTTAAAAACAACGATACGTTATTATTTTCCTGTGTAGAATGTGTAGGTGATAACATTTTATGACCGTAAAGGAGCATGATAAACATATCTCTTTCACAAAGTTCAAGATCAAGAAGACGAGAAAGATCAGAAGTTATTACAATGTCCCACCATTTTATCAAATAACTGGTGAAACTCCAAATTTTTAATATGTTAATGAATTCTCTATATGAGATGAAAAGTGGTCATTTCATTTGGAACCCTGTTCTGCAACAATTGATTGTCTATTGAACTATCAGACCCAAACTGCTGGATGGACTAAGACCTGAGAATGCTTGATAAAGTCAGAATAAAGATGTATTTGTTCTCCAAAGACGCACTGACGTGAATTCAGTGACGAACTGGAATGCTCCTCTGGTTTGGGAGGGAACCTTTGATCCGGTGGTTATTGATGCAATCTATAAGAAAATGGACCCAAGAGTTGCTGTGGTGTTGTTTGCTGTTGGCAAGTAGGTACACAGGATATTCTCACAGAATGTTTTAAGTGTACAGTTTAACCTGAGCCATTACTTCAGCTGAAATACTCTACTATATGAACTTAATAAACATGATAAAGCTTTTTTTTTATATACTGTTATGTCTATTGCATTGTTAATGTTTGTGGCTTGCTTGTTTCCTTCCCAAAAGATACACACGTTTCCTAAAGGGTTTCTTGGAGTCGGCTGAAAAGTACTTTCTTGTTGGCTTCAGAGTCACCTATTACATCTTCACAGACAACAAAGGAGATGTCCCCACAGTGAGTGATTCTTCTTGGTATGTTTCAAGTAGCGTTGTGCACATCTTAGCTAATTAACTAAAGTACAGGACTGCAAAATATCATCACGTATTGCTTATTATTTTAACAGCAAAGAACACAGGGGATTGTGCGTTATGTAGCTGTAGATGTGTCTATGTAGGTGATTTTCTGTTTTACAGAGGGAGAGGGAAAGCTTGACGAAGGACACAGACAGGGAGGCAACTAAGGATTTCAAAGTGTGGTATCGTCGCCTCATCAGTGTATTTGCGAAATGATCTTGGTTTATTCGAGTATGTGCTGCTGCAATAAATCTCCTTAAATTGGGGGATCTGTGTGGTGCCTTACCACGTGTCAGAAAGATCAACGGTCAACGAGCTTGAGAATATGTAGAAAATAAAAAAAGACTGCAATCTGATGTATTTACCATTTAAAAACAGTTGAACATAATAGTATTTTAAATTAAGTTTTCAGCTCACTGGTGCTTTGGTGTGATTTATAAACCGCTGAACGAATGAAGCCACTCTAAAGGAGGGACACTAAGATCCAACAGTGGCAGGTAGCAGGTTCCTGTTTTAGAACCGCAGGTTCCCCTTTTCAGAACAGCATGAACTGATCTCAGAACGTGTACTTCCGCCAAGTCATTTCATTAAGCCGTTACTGGAAAAGATGTTTACATGTGATTTGCATATGGATGAGGAGGCGGGTCTATGGCGCTACGTGCCGTTCTGAGATCAGTTTATGCCGTTCTGAAAATCCAACCTGCCGCTTATTGAACTCGGTGCCACTCCTTCAAAAGTTAAGACCATTCATATTCATGGGACCAAAAATAAATGCACACATGTAAACGTAAGTATCGTGTGTGTTTGTCAGATTAAACTGGGTAAGGGACGAAAAATCTCAGTGGTCACCATCCCTAGCGTCAACCGCTGGCAGGAAGTAGTGCTTGGCAGGATGAAATGGGCAACCATCACCATTGACAAACAGGTAAGAAGTCAAGATAAGATAAGATATTCCTTTATCAGTCCCAGAATGGGGAAATTCACAGATCACGGCAGCAAAGTGGACAGTGCACACAAGATACACGGTTAAAAACAAGAGCAGCAGCATTATGATAATGATAAAAATGACAAGAATAAGAATAAAATTAAAGTGAAATAAAAATGAAAATAAAAAAATTGACAAGTGCAAAGGCCGTAGTAATTAAGTAGTCTTTATAGCACATATGCAAAAAGATTAAATGTCCTGTGGTTGTCCTGTGAATGCACAACATGGCTTAGTTGAGTCATCATACTAGTACTACAGTCGGGGTCATTAGTGCCACTACTGGTTCTCTTAATATGACATTCTGTTGAGTCTCTGCCCGTTACAGTCCCTCACATTTCAAATGCAATGTTTTCAGATCCGTAATGAAGCGGACTATCTTTATATGATGGACATAGACAGTGTCTTCCACAATGATTTTGGAGCCGAGTCACTAAGTCCGCTGTCTGCTGTGCTTCACCGTGGCTACTACAAGGTTTTTCTTCAAGTTAATGTTGGACTTTCCTTTTTTTCTTTTCATCATCAAATGTTTTCATTGATTTGTCTCTTCATACCATATGTTGTGCATTTTTTTTATAACAATCTTACCACATTTCAGCCACTAAAATATGGATTTTCCTCAGAATACAAGAAGGGATCAGTTTCCGTACGAGCGTCGGCCCAAATCTATGGCCTACATTCCTACTGATGAAGGAGACTACTATTACACAGCTGCTGTCTGGGGTGGATACCTGGAGGACATGTATAGGCTGGTCAAGTAAATAACAGTTATTTATCTTTTATGTTATTTTCATTTCTACTACGGTAAAGGGTACACTGAGTGGTAACATAACAATTATAAATATACATATGTTTTAAAAATAGATTTGCGTTCGGATCTTTTGCCACTTGTGAGAACATGATTTCAACCTTTCAAAGATTTTTGAGATGATTGCACCAAATTTAAGTTTAAAATGCATTTATTTTTAAACGCAATGAGACTTTACAGTGACACTCTTTCTACTTTTGTGTCATCAGATACTGTTACACACAGTCAGAGGAAGATGCTAAGAATGACATCGAAGCTGTGTGGCAGGAAGAGAGTCACCTCAACAAGTACAGTCACAATTTATCCCCTAATTTTCAACGTTTTCAATTTATTTTAATAAAAAGGTTTAAAGAGAGTTCAACCTGCTGAAATCCTCATTTCTGATTTAATTTCTATGTGACATTCCTTGACACATTTCATAAAATTGTTTTCTTAGATTAATAGAACGAATCAACTTTTTTATTTTCTTATGGGTCATACGTTGCTTTATCTGTCTCTCTGCTGTGAAGGTACCTGCTGTACAACAAGCCAACCAAGGTGCTGTCTCCAGAGTACCTGTGGTCAGACTATGACAAAATACCAGCAGACATAAAAGTCGTCAGGATCTCCCAGTTGGTCAAGAACTATGAAGAAGTGAGGCCCAATGGTGGACACTGAAGTCCAGTCAATGTCATACGGACCGTTATAAATGTATGTAAATATCTATTATAGGTTACTTTGTTTTTTCTGTATTGTGTATCTTTAAAGGAGTAAATCAATTAATTAGTACACTTGGGTTAGTTAGCAATTTATCAGCACCTACAGAACTTTGTAATTTGGCTTACTTGAAGAAATTGTACTTCCTTTATTCTTGTTGTTCTGTTTCTGAATGCATTTTGGATAAAAGTGTCAGCTAAAAGGAAAATCTTAATCTAAATGATAAATAAATAATTAGAACTCAATAAACTTAAACCAAAAAACATGTTTTATTATTTTTAGTTGGCAGATGTCTCTAGCAAAGAACAGTTTAACCAAGGTAAATTGTATTTCAATGTGCTTTGTGTAGACCACCACAGCATCACTTTGTAATTGTGTTCTTTAAGGTATATGCATACACCTTGACTTTGTGCAACCTGCACGTATTTTGCTGCGGATATAGGGTCATTTTATTACTTTACATTTATTTTCATGTTTTGAGGGCACACATTTGTTCGTATTGTATTATCTGGAATCAGTTGTTTATCAATCTGGGTGTATTTCAACTGAACATATATGTAATGGCTTCAAAACCTACCTAAAACTATGGCATTGGTTTTCTTTTACTTTGTTGTAAAGGAAAGTAAAGTAAAACATTTTTTAAAGCATTGGTGTCGTCCTTTATAAGTAGCTCTCGTTGCAAAATGTACGTTGCACTACCGTACAGAGTATAAGCGGTAAACTGGGACGACCGAGGTCACTATGGACATAGATACATATATAAAGGCTAGATGTCTCCTCCGCGTTGCCAGCCAACGGAGTCGAACGTCCGCTCATCGCGGCCATCTTGGTAGGGACAGCTGGCTCACCCATAACATTGTGTTGGTAGTGATACATGTACTTTTTAAATAACCATAACTTGCTCAATTTTCAACCAAACGATTTGGTTTGTTATAAACGTCAGATATGTAGTTATGACACTGCATACATAATATGAATAATTGTGTTATTTCCTAAAAAATAGAACAATGTTCTAAAATAGGTAGAAGATTGCCCTTTAAAAATAGGCATCAAAAAATGCTGCATGTTGAAATCCCCACCCTGTACAGATATGTATTTATGACACTGCATACTTATGAATCATTATAATTGTAACCATGGGTTTTCATACGAAAATTATACTAAACAGAACATTATTCATAAGTATGCAGCGTCATAACGACATCTCTGACGTTTATAACAAACCAAACCGTTTAAAAATCGGTTGCAAATTGTGCAAGTTATTAGTTAAAGTACCACTAACAACACAATGTTATGGGTGAGCCAGCTGCCCGTACCAAGATGGCCGCCATGTGCGGACGTTCTATACTCCGCCGTAAGACATCGAGCCTTTAAATATATATATCTAAGACTGTGGATATTTGCGATGGTGTCGTAAAGTACCAATGTTGTGAACGGAAATCAGACCGGTCGTCCTCTGAGCTGAGCTTTCAGTCGCCCTTCAGCAGAGAAAGATTGCGTTTCTTGCCAAACACCCGGTCCCAACATTAAACCATGGCGGCGACAATTGCACGGAAAGCTATTGACCATCTGAAGAGCAAAGAGTTCAGGGATTATTTGACAAGGGATATACATGAAAGCTATTGAAATTTTCCATTAGCCCTCATGCTAAAGGCACGTTTGCTATTTGGTATTCGTGTGTCAGCTCGACAACGTTGACACGGTTGAATTTACTGTCCCGATTAGATCGGAAAGCAGTGTGATAATATCCAATGTGTGTGTTACTATTTGTTAGATTGTTGTCCTTTCGCTCGGTTGTTTTCAAAGACTATTGCAGTTTCTGTAACATGAAGTTAGAAAGTTACGTTAACCCAGTTCGCCAAACTTGAAAGTGGGTTTGCCGCAACAACAAAAAACATGTCGAGACAAAAGGCAAATAAGTGACCTGCTTTATTGTTTCTGTCCGTTTTAAACATGTTGGTTAATGTGTACATGATGCCCGCGTGACGTGTTCTCTTTTCGCAGATAAACAGCAATATGTATTAAATTTCGACACAGTGGTGCAAGCGGCCATCCTTGTTTACATTTATAATACATGATGCAGTGAATAAACAAATGCACATTATTTGTGCCATTTTGCACCAACTCTGGATTTTGGTTTTCTAACACAACAACGGTTGTTTTGTCACTATGTACTGTGTACTATGTACTATGTACTGTGTACTATGTGTATACGGTAGTAATTAATACAGTTGAATGTAATTTAAGTTACATTTTTTCATCCAGCGACTAAAATGTGGCCTTTTCCATATTAAGTAATTTACTAATGTAGGACCAAATGAAGGTGACGCAGGTGATGCTACTTCCTGTAAGACCTGGACTCCTTAAATTGAGTTTCACTTGTAAATTGTCTGAAACTCTAGCGGCACTCTAATTATGACTTCTCTGTATTTCTTTTCTTTTCTCTTGTATGTGGCCTTGAAACTGAAACCTGTTCAACAGCACCGTAAGTCCTCAAACTTTCTGTCATATTTGTTTATATGTGTCTCTTCTCATCAATGACTTGACTTGATCTTTCTGTTTGTCTCATACCCAATACGGGAATATCATTTTTACATCTTTGCATACAGTTTTTTTTTCTACTCATATTTTCGAAATCAGTACTTATTTGAATTGATATTGTTTTGGGATTCATGATACAGCTTTTACCATCAAGAATTCATTCATGATTGTAATTGTATAGTTCTGTTTTACTGTTTCAAGCAGCTTAAACTACTTCCCAAACCATAAACGGTGTATTGTTCAAACTGTAGTTTGTTACTTTGTGTGTATCTGCACAGCATTTCTGGGGACCTGTCGCAAACTGGGGTCTTCCCATAGCCGCCATCACAGATATGAAGAAGAGCCCTGAGATTATCAGTGGCAGGATGACCTTCGGTAAGACACGCACACATCTGCTGATACACACAGTGGGACACATGAAGGGTTCACACATTACCCCCATTTATTCATGGTTCTGGTCAAATCCCACCACCCCATTTAGATGCTTGGTATGTCATAAGTGAGTGATTTAAAAGAAGACAGTGCTGTCATAAAATAGTGCCTGTTTTTCTCCTTCCTCTCAGCTCTGACCTGCTACTCACTGCTCTTCATGAGGTTCGCCTGCAAGGTTCAGCCACGCAACTGGCTTCTGTTTGCTTGCCATTTGACCAATGAGTCAGCACAACTAATCCAGGGAGGTCGTCTCATCAAATACAAGTAAGCAATATTCTATGATGTGACTTTTTTGTTTTCTTTTGTCCCCCTAAATAAATCAGGTGTCATGAAACCCTGTTAGACCACATTTTCTTACCTTCCAAGCTGAATTCTCCATAAGAATGAGGCTTTATGTCATGTTCCCCAACAACCTATCCATAGAAAATGTTTTGTCTTGAAGCTTTAACCTGGTGTGTTCAGGGTTGTATATTATTTTTTAGCCAATGGTTTGAAAATATGATGTCAAAAAAAGGACTTTTTTTTTTTTTTTTTACCCAAGTCTTAATTTTGCCACTATGGCCTTTGACCTAGAACCCAATTTCACCAATGACCTAATGAAATAATCTTTAGATCTTCAATGTTTATCAACCTTATCAAAAGGGACATTCAGTCAGCACTTAGCATGATAATGATGTATGTTTGTAAATAACTGTTCCTGTATTACTGCAGGATGGAGAAGAAGAAGCAATCGTAGTGGCAGAGTGGAGCTGATGCAGAGCGATCGCTGTGGAACTCTGCTGCTTCAACACTCACGTAAACCTGGATATCAAAAATCAAAAGCATCCAAACATCTTATCTAATCTAAACAGTGGCACTTTCACCATGTTTTTTAACCTATTGTTACAGTGGTTGCTCACCCTCATGAATTTTTCATTCACTTTTAATACACAGAGAGAGAGAAAAGCAGATGCTTTTCCTCCAAGAAGATAGGTCAACTGCTGTGTTTTTTTAGGGGGGGGATTGCAACATTCAATTTCAACACACATAGACAAACAGAAATATGATGTGGCGAATGTATACTCTGCTAAATAGCGTGATAATTTGCTGCCTTGTACAATTTAGTCATCATTCATCTCATTTAAGGTCATGGGAATTGTTATTTTTATGTTATGCTGTAAAAATAAAACCGTGTCTCTAGAGCTTCCAATTCGACACGGTTTGATGAAAGTATAATAATTAAGACTCTCTGATTAGGTCAGTGCTGACCAAACTGTACTGTGTGTCATCATATGTAGTCCACAATAATTTATTGCCATTGTTTGATCTAAATAATTCTTTCCTGATAAATGATTCTTTGGGTTTGTTCAAATAAACTGTCTAAAAGAAACTCAAACATAATTCATTGGATTTTTTTGCAATGATTTTTTAAACAGAAAGTTCCACATTGCTTTTGGAGTAATACTTTTTTGATAATTGTCAAGCAGGCAGCTTATTCCTGTTTACACTTTACACTTTTCTTAGCAACATAACACCCTTTTTTTTTATTTACACTAAACACAAATTATCAACAAAGTTAAAAAACGTACACAAAATGAACAGGAGCTAATTCACGTGTAAACCCTAGCTTTTAAACTTTAATGTGGAATAATGCTTTCCGCTGGATTGATATATTAAACAATTTACCAAGCAACATGTTTAAAACTAATTGTGAAAGTTAGAAGAAAACCTACATTTTTACGTGGCATTTCAATTTTGTGAGATGATGATTAAGGTGGATTATACTGTGCACTTAAGTGTACTTAAATGGATATAGTGTTGACAAGTAAGTATAACATTAATATATTATATTTTACCACGGGTCATAAAAGATACCCTGTAGACACACACATATTCAAATAAAATCATCTCAAAAACGTGGTTCCGGTAGGTGGCGGTAACGCAGCACTCGCAAACGGGCTCCGAGAGCTGCGGTTGATCGACAAAGAAGAATCCAACATGGCGTCTGTGAACAGCGACGAGTGGAGAGCCGTCTGCCACAAATTCACCAGCGCCCAGAACCTCACGCTTGTGGAATCGCGAAACGACCCCGACAATGAGCCGTTCCGCTCCAAATACAAGGCCAGGGAGCTGCTCGCCGAGATTTACTGCTCGCTCAAGAGCTTCGAGGTGGGCGAAGAGGAGAGCGGCGGCGGGCGGCCGCCGACGGAGCCCCCGGTGGACGGGCAGCGGGAGGACGGGTTCGGGGAGGGCGTCGGCGGGGACTCGCCCGCCGGGCTGCGGGCCGCCAGACTCGCGGCCGTCGAGTACTACCTGGGCGTCAACCACGTGGACACGGAGGAGCTGTCGGCCGGACAGGAGCACCTGATGAACTGCGTGAAGCTGCTCGAGCGGTGCAGCGTGTCGTCGGAGAACGTGTCTCTGTTCATCCACGTCAGGGTAACGAGCGGGTTCAGCTGTCCTCAGTGCTGTGAAGCTGCCTGAATCATAATGAATAACATTACAATCGATAATGCCATGTTAAGGAGCGTTGTAGGGCCATGTGAACAATCAGTTTACACCCTTTCCCATTTAAATACATTCGTTTTAATGTCCAGATATTGATCGTATTTGCTATGATTTGCAACACCAACCACGGTTCATTATTATGAAATGATCTATTAGAAGAGGCTGATCGGGTCGCCTGTGTTATCAGAACCAGCTGGGTATCCTGTGGGCAGGCCGAGATGAGACAGAGACCTCTCAGGGATTCCTGGAAACCGCCGAATCCAACTACCAACGCTACATGAAGGAGGTAAGGTTGGTACCCGAAGCTGCGTTTACATTGGCTGATGACAAGGACAAAAATGTCTGTCATATTATCCAGCTTCTTTATAACCTTGCATATTAACAACAAACAGTTTACAGCTGTATGGCCTCACTATCATCAGTGGATTGTAATATAGGGTGTTTTGTTTATGTAGATGCTAAAATATGCGATTTGAGATGTATTTCCTCCCTCAAATCAAGATGGTAATAAGTAGAGAAATGAAACATGTGGCTTAATTGTTGTGTATCCCTTCCTCCAACGGTTGTCATCCTCATTCAAAAGATGAACTGACTGATGAGTTTGAGCTACAGAATGATGCTGAGCTGCTATGTTTTATTTAGGATGGGAGTCCACCTACCGATATGACTGAGTACTTCACTACTGAGGAGAACCTGCTGACACATCAGGAAAGGACCAAGAGGTAACTTGTTAACTTCCCAAGGCCCAAATGCATAAATTCATGCAGCTTTCCCAGTCATGCTCTGTCTTGTTCCATTAGTCATTTCTCCTTTTTGCTCTTTCTTTCAAACCTTCCCTGCTCAGGTTTGAGTTGGCGTACACTCACACCATGTACTACCTCGCTCAAGTCTATAAAAACCTTGGTGAGTCTTCGCTGGTTTCATTCAATATATCACAACAGTGCATATTTATTGGCTTGTGAACACCTAAAATTAACTTTTTAACTTTTGATGCATTTCTAGAGTGCGCCTCTGAACTTTATTCACTTGTATCAACTATTCATTTGTATAGATTTACCAAAGCTTTTTGTTCTGTTAATGTTTAGCTTTACGCAACGATGGTATTACTAACTGGGGCGTCTTGTATTTCAGGTGAAACTGAGCGTGCTGCCACATACTGCCACAGCACCCTGCAGAGACAGTTACAGTTAAATCAGTTCAGTCCAATGGAGTGGGCTCTGAATGCTGCTACACTATCACAGTATTACATCACTAAGGTAGGGCGAGTTAAAACCTTACATCTTAAATGATGTTATCATCCAAAATGGTTTGATCCCTTTCATTGATACATTTTTGAGATTAGACATGTAGTCGATTTTTATTTTGATTACCTCGCAGGTTTGTTGTAGAAATCGTAACTGTTTGTAGATCTGTTGTGTGAGTGTTTGCTTGTGATTTCTAGGGCCTGTACATGGAAGGGAGACATTGTCTCTCTGCAGCTACTGTCATATCCGGTTTAGCAGGGGAGGCTCCTTCTGAGGCTGCAGCACAAGAGAGTGAGTGTCCATCTAAATATTTAATTAACACACACGTGAAACAAAGCATAGTTTTTCAATCATTTTCGTTGTAATCCGTAGGTTAATTAAACTATAATCAGTCAGAGGGGGAGTGAACAAAACTGACTTCTCCTTCCGTCCGTCAAACTCCATCCAGATATATCAATCATTCTTTCCCTTCCTTCCAGCATATCTTAGTATCTCTTTCTGCCTTCGTGTGACCCAGGTGAGGCGGAGAGTGAGCGCAGGGAGCAGCTCAGACAGAAGAGAGCTGAGATTGCAAGATGTTGGATCAAATATTGTCTCAACCTCCTGCAGGACTCAAAGAAGCTGCTGGAGGTACGGCGTAATTGTATGGGTGCGGTTGCACTTGTGACTCTGTGGGAAAATGTTAATGCTCCAGTCCACACCTATAGCAATAAAAACATCAACTTTATCAGCAGACGACCCAAAGAAAGACAAGTTAGCACCAGAAATTTGAATTTTAAAGTGCAATCATTTTGAGGATTGAGTTTCTGCTGAAAGTCTCTCGTAGCCAAAATCTACGAAATTGCATTGTTCCCTAAAATATGTCCACACGTGTGTAACCAGGACAGCATTGGGGAGCTTGACACTGATCGTCAAGAAGAGATGAAGATGGCGAGGAGACGTGAGGAAGAGGAGGAAGAGAAGGGAAGGAAGAGCGCTCTGCTCTTTGGCTCTGAGGACACTTTTGACTCCATTGCAAGTCTGGAAGAGAAGGTGTGGACGCTGCTCGTTCTACACATAATGTTTTTTTAAAGTTAGGAGGAAGGCTGTAGTACTACTGTGCATTATCAAGTATCGCCACTTCCTGTGTGTCTCAAGCAGTGGTAATGCTTCCCTTTTATTAATCATAAGTTACAACGGGCTCTTTAATGTCATTTATTTCACTCCGTATCTATAATTATTGCGATTTTTTTAAAGATAATTATATCTTCAGAGGGCAGCATACGTTTTAAATCTATCATAGCAGATTGAACTTATATGTATTACGTTTTACAGGTTCGCTGTTCGTTGCCATTAGACTTCACTGAGGCCAGAGCGGTTTTTCTGGTGGGACAGAATTATGTCACTCAGGTATGCAAAGAACACACACAACCCCACACACACAGGCACACAAAATGTAAATGTATTTGACAGATTCACATCAATTTAAAGTCTCTTATTCAAGTAATCCGACACACAGCACTGGATCACAGTTGAAGAATTCCAAGTAGCTGAATCACCACCGTACAAGCAGATAAACTGGCTTTTAACCTAAAAGAGACCAGATGCGTTTGTACTTTGCTGCTTTTATTCAGCTCTTAGCAAGTTAAAGTACAATGTAAATAGAATGTATCAATGGGTGAAGCACACGTACACTGATACTATCAATTACCACTCAAGTCCTCAATCTTCTTGTCTGAAATATTTTAAGTTGGTAACAATGTTACAGTTCAGAATAATTGTGTATTCCAGAACATGAGGGAAATGATGTAAGGAGCACAGATACAGAAACCTATTAAACTGTCTACATGCGTGCACTCATTCTTACAGGCCAAGGAGTACTTTGAGATGGACGGCCATGTGACGGACCACGTAGAGATCCTGCAGGATCACAGCGCTCTGTTCCGCTCCCTTGCTTTCTATGAAGAGGATCTGGAGCGACGCTGCAAGATGCACAAACGCAGAGTGGACATGCTGGAGCCCATCTGCAATGGTACTGCGTAAACTTAGTTCTTTTTTTTTGTCTCTCTGAATATTAAAACAAATATATTGTTTGCAGCAGAAAAAGGCTTCAATGCGTCGTTGTTGATTTATATCTGACTATGTGATTCTCCCTACAGACTTGAACGCCCAATACTACCTAATGATCCGCAGACAGATGATGTTTGAGTTGGCTGAGATCTACAATGAAATGATGGACCTGAAACTGACGCTGGCCAACAGACAAGCTGATTCAGAGACTCTCGATAACCACACCATTAAGAAATTCAACCATCTCTGCTCTGCCTCTGCCAAGTGAGTGCGTGTGGACGGCCCTTGTATTTCTGTGCAGCTACGTTCAATCGTTTTTTGAAGTCCTGTATTCTCCTTTCTAGATACTTCCAGATGTTTCTAGACTCTCTGTGCTCTCCAGAGGGGAAGATTCCAGAGCACCTGGAGGAGGAGGTCCTCAGACCGGCTCTGGTGGCTCGCTTCAGAGTGGCCCGACTCTACAGCCGCCTGATCAGCTCTTCACCCTCTGCTCAGCTGGAAAACCTCGACAAATCTCTGGAGCACTACCAGTAAGAAGTTAACTTGTGGTCGGTATATGCAAACACTTTGCTCATTGAAAAACATGCGCTCAAAGGGTTGTGCTCTCTGCAATTATCGTAATCACTTGACGTCAAAGTCGGAGGTTGAAACTCTGGCGGGGAGAATGATTACCACATGGGAGAGCCCGTGGTGACCGTGAACAGCTGGGGGTATGGTAGAAACTCAGAAATGGGGTGAATGCTCCAGATAAAAAAGAAACGTAGTGTGCCGGGTAGGGATTTAAAGTAAAAGGTCCCTAATGGATGAGTGGGTAGTTTTTTAGAGGTGACCTGCATACATGTGCGAGTGCGGGAAAGTTTCCACAGACTCCAGACAGCTCAACTCTAACACACTGTGAGAAATAGAGCGGTTTCCTTGGCGACGGTGGGATTAATCGGCATTGTGTGAACTTGTTTGGAATGTAAAAGACATCTATTTGTATGTAAAAGTGCTGCACACCAGCTTCAGTGTAGAAGGATGGATTAAAGTTATTTGGATTTGGATGAGGATGGATTCTAATGAAATAAATGAACCTGGAGGTGTGCTTTACGGTTTGTTTTTCATCTGTATGATGTATTGACCGTCTCTCTAGATACGTGGTGCAGTACTGTGAAGCCCACCCTGAGGCAGCAGCCACTGTGGAGACGGAGCTGGAGCTGAGCACAGAGATGGTCGGTCTGCTCCCTCTCAAAATCAACCGGCTCAAAGCAAAGATGGCTGTCAACAGCTGAAGGAGGTTTCTGTTCACTGACTGACAGCTTTCTAATAGTGTTAAAACCATCCAAATGATCCTCAAAATACTACCTTTAAAATCCGTGTACACCCCCAACAAATATAGGAACTGGATGGCTGAATTTCTGGCATATTCATGTCTGTGAACCTTTTGTTTAGTGCAATTTAATTTTCATTCATTCATATAGCGCAGAAATTTTACTCAATGTGTATAAAATCTTTCTCGTACTACTAAAAAATAATTGACACGTTTATTGAACTAGGACTGTTTTTGCCTTCACGTTGATGCTCTCTTCCTAACCAGTATGGTGGGAAGAAATCCCTATCGCTAAAATGTCTAAAAAGTAGCTGCTTTTAATAAGACGGTCGCCTTAACATCCCTGTGGTGGATATGTACAAAACTATTGTTTTTATTTATTTAGTTTTATTTTATATTACTGTTTTCTGTGTTCTCTATTCTTAATAACATTGGTTTTCATTTAATGTAGCTTTTTTTCTGTAAAGCACTTCAGCACATTAAAATTCTGTTCATCCAGCTACGTTATGTATTGTGTAACAATGGAAATAACGGTAGGCAGTCAGAGGTACATAAAGTTGAGTTGACTCAACTCCGTTTGGACAACAGACAGGGAGTTGTTTCTGCAAGTTGCCTGAACCGTCTGTCAACAGTTGTCCCGGTGACAGACATTAAGTGGACTTAACAATGTTGGTTTATGAATAATCTGCATGACGCCAGCCTCATCCAGTTGACCCCCTTTGTCTGCTTGTCTTTTAGGGACCTAATGGAAATAAACAAGTAATACACACTTATGTCGCAATAACAACATTTGCTTTGTACTTGCAAAAAGAAGCCTTTTCTTTGGAATATCAATATATCTGAAAACAATATTACTGATGTTGATTTTATAACTGACTTCTGGGGTAATGGGCTGAAATAATCTCAGTTTGGGGCCCAATGAAGCCTAAGAGCCCCCCCCCCCCAGTCAGTTAAATTAGTTGTCCAGAGAAATGTCTGAAAGGGTTTATTAGAACAAATCTCATGCCCTTGACATGTTTCCCAATTTGCTATAGTGTTTTGTACGTTAGGTATACATACATGCTACAGCTGGCAGAGATACAATTACATTTCATATGGATAGCAAAAAGTCCTAGAGAAAGAAAATATTGCACAGGAGTTTTTTGATTTATGTGGAATCATACTGAGTAAGTCTGTGACTCTTAGTATTCAGCACCGTGTTCTTGAAAGGGGAAGTGCAACCAAGCATTTGGGCTATAGCATCACCAAGTTCCAAGTAACCATGAAGCAATATACTGTTGCTAAATTTTTCCTGTCTTGAGGGTATCGTTGCTTTGTGGTGAAGCTGTACGAGTGTGTCCGATCTATCGGGCAGGATATCGCACCGTTGGAGCCACCAGAGTCCATCAGCCTACTGTTAAACATCTCACCTGGGAGTGAGAAGAAGTAACAAATGATGGGGATTCATGAAGCAGACGTTCTCAAAACATAACACCCATATTCAAATCAAATGCTCAAGCAAAACTCGAGATACATTTAACTCCTCCTACATATGTTCAAGAACACGGACAGGGAGTTTCTTTATGAAACATTGCAGCAATAATAGAAATGGAAATGTCAATGTGAATTTAAACGCATCAGTTCAGTCCCCGATTCTATTTATGATCCCAATACCCTTTCTGATGCTTGTCAAAACGTGTAGTGAAATACCTGCTCTTTAAAAGACACTTGAAACGAAAGTGCTATGAATGATTTTCCACTTGGCTGACAAATTCCACCCTCATGCAGAATAGCCATAAATATTCCCCACTGCACAAAAAATACCTTCATATTGACAGAGATAGAAAAACATCTAAGAGTATTATTTGACGTTACGCTTTTATTCATATCAAGCCATTTATGGTAAGAAAAACGTGAAGATAGTTTAAATGAACGTCTGATTGGGAGTTTTTAACTTCAAATATTTGACCTTTTTTAGAAAAGTGTGTTTCTTTTCCTGCCCTCAAGCGTGTCTTGCAGTGTATATCTTGATCTGAGGCAGCTTTCCTTGTCAGATAACTTGTGGGACAATGATATGTTGAAACTAATCTGCAGTAGATTCATAAATATTCTCTTCCCAGTTCCCACTAAAAACACAAGTTGCAAAGCAGTTCGCTCGCTGCCACTTGTACAGCTTTTTTCTTTTACTTCTGACCAATGGTTCGACCTTCGCAACACATTCACTCTGGTTTCTGTTCCGTCCTGATAAGTCTGTGTTTTATTGTCACTGTGCTCTGCTGCAGTCTTGTGAAATGACCCAGCTGTGTGGAGAGAAAAGTGCAGTTTCTACTGCCATAAACTAAGACATCAGACTTGAATCCCACAAAACGCAACCACGGTCTTGAAATCTCTTAATATGTTGCGTTAGTATGCTGCTGCATGGAAACACAAACGGGTACCCAACATGAGAGGCAGTGTAATGTTTTTGAATGCTTTAATATTGTAGGAGCGATAGAAGGAGGATCTTTTGTTACTGCGCACATGTGACTCATGACTATGTCACAGTGTACGTACGTATGTGAGCGAGTGTGTGTGTGGTACGCTCAGCATTCTGTGAAATATTTGTTGTGTTCTTATACATCAGAGATGGTCCTGTGGGGGAAATACTGCTTACAAATCATTGACTGTGGTTGTGGTCTTCCTGCTCCTCTTCTTCCCCCTCCTTCGCTTTCCTCATCGTGCCTTTTTTCATTGTCTGTTTCAGACATGAAGGAAAAAAATACTCGTACTGTGAGAGAGAACTGTTTGTTTCAGTTGACACATTGATACGATGGTACAGGAAGTGGTAACATCATTTGCTATCATTTTCCTTCAGGAAATGACACACTAGGCTGCCCAACCCCGCCTACACACATACACACACACAACCATTTCAACCATAGACTTGTGTTTATGAAGTTTGGATGGTTTTCTTTTGTTTTTGTCTGACCTCTTGTGTGCGTGTTTGTGTGTGAGGATCTGTGAGACGGCGGCATGTGAGATTAAACTGATAATTACCGTCCAAAAAGGTGATTGTGTCCTAACACAAGGTTTCAACCCCTGGTGTTATCTGTGAAGCTCACTAAATTCTTAGCATCCTAATATCTGACCATCTTTGCCACTTGCATCGCGTGTGCATCTCATCACATGATTGCAACATGAGTTCAAACTTCTTTTAAAAAAACGTTTATGTCCTCTTCCACCTCCAACCAGTTGCATCCCGAGTTTAACCTCTCAATCACCACTGAGTTTATCTGATGAATACGCTTCACCTGCCTGAGGCACCGGGACACACCAGGTGTCCCACAAATGTCTCAACTTGTGTTTACCAGCACAGTCTGATGTCACAGGAAGAGAGACACACAGATGAACACAACACATGAGAGTGGCGGAAGAAGCATGTTTATCTTATACCGAAAGGAAAAGTGACAATACAGTATATAAATACAGTCCCACATTGAACATTATATTTGAGTAAACGTTCAGAAGCTACATATTTTGATCGTGGTTGCTTTTCTGTATAATACTGGAATTTATAGCATTTAAAGAGTATGCAACATCTTAATGTGGTCATGGGGGAGCTACTTTAACTGATTTATACACTATTTGGGCAGTTACAAGACGTTTTAATAGCTAAGCTTTAAAATAGTTTCTACAAAGAAACTAATAGCTGGCAAATAAATGCAGATGAGTAAAAAGTACATTTCTTTACAAATAAACGGTAGAAGAAAAGGCAAATACCTTAAACCAATATGCTTCAATACAGTTGATTCAATCAACCACCAACAAACACAAGCATACAAACCAATTCTGCAAAACATGTGGAGACTATTAAAATACACAATGGAAAAACAGGACCAGACACAAGTGTGCAATAGTGTTAAACAAGAAAGTTACCACTGCACGATACTGGTATCGGATAACATGATTTTACTTTTGCATGAACTGAAGAGAGCTGTGCAAGAAGCAATTCAATCGAATTGCAATCATTTCTCTGATTTTGTTTTTAAGTTTCCGTTTCCTTATCTCTCCACAAAACGAGTCGGCCACCAATTAAGACAAATTGTCGCTTCCTCTCAATCGTTCCTATCAATTACGCAGATTTAATCTTCTGGTGTGCAGTTTGCAAACTGCCACCGAGATATCTAAAATGTGGGGCCGCCGGGTGCGAAAAGTTTCCACTGAGGACGTTGAGCCTCTTGCTCTGCTGAAGGCATCGCGCAGGAAGCCGTGACGCGGTCGGAGGGCTGAGCTCCTTCAGGCGGAGTCCGTCTCTCTCTCTCTCTCTCTCGCACACTTCACACTTCACACTCAGCGCGCGCGCAAGCAGCTCCGCATTTTTGGGAAGGAACGCCTTTTGCATTTCCTCGGCGTGTTGTTGTTTAAGGGAGAGGGAAAAAAAAGCCCGAACTGAGGATGAAAGTGATCCTGTTCTTCGTTGTCTCCTGCCTCGCCTTTCAAAACGCAGACGGTGAGTGGTGTTTTTCGCGTGTTGCGGTACTTTGTGGTGACAGGCGGTAGACGCACGTTGTGACATCCTGACAGCTTTCACGGTCCAAACGGGGGACTGAAGCCCCTCGCGGGGCGTTCACTGACGCGTGGTAAAGATGGGAACAGTTCAGACTCACTGTAACGGAGTTACCGTACGCGCAATGACTCGTATGACAACACCCCCGCTGAGCTGGTACCATATGCAGAAAAAGACGACTTCGATGACTCAAACGTGTTTGTTTCATATATGTGACGACGAGGAATAGACTTAAATATTTTGAGGTCGACGAGGCGGAGAAAAGGAGAGGAGTTCATTCCACAGAAGGAAGAGTTTCCGAGGGATGTTTCTGTCTTTTTGAACTCTCACCACGACACAAGAAGTGTCGTTTTTGAAATGAGTGAAGGGAAAAGCACGGGGAAACCCTGTGATTCAGAAATAGAAACCCTTTGATATGCCTACTTTAGGAATAATTTCGTTCAATGATTTAAAAAAACAACGTAGAACTACAGACCTTACTTAAAGTATTCAATAACCCTCCACATCCAAAGTATTCAGTCACTCTGGGGATGTTTACTTTCATATATTTTGTAAACCACTAATGATACGATGTTGGGCTCTAATCTTTAAAGCTGAGGAAAGTTAAAGAAAACTATACTTGTTTCTTTGGCTTCTTGGATTTGTACCAATTACCATATAATGCCAATAATCATTTTAGTCCGAGGGCTCAAAATAAAATTATGAAAATTATCTTGTTTTATTGTTAAATAACAGTAACACTTAGTATGATGATTTGTATCAGTATCATTTATGCATTATGCTGCCAAAAGCCCAATAGTGTGGGGAAAATGGGAAATCAATTAATCGAGTACTGGTGAATAGTTATCATCGATCAAACATCAAGGTCCTACAATGAGATGATTAGAAATTAAACATTTGGCAGCTATTTCTAATTTCGTTACCGAACAGGTTGGGGGGAAAACAGACGGGGATTTCAGCATCAGATAATGTTCTTGGTTAACTTACTGCGATGTGTTGAGAAAAAAGCTGTGGTGCTCTAACTTCCTTTTCTTTCACATTACTGAAGAAAATAAACCACTCTTAACCATGTAAGGCCAACCGTCACTTTATTGTAAAATAATGGTGCAATCTCCTGAAACCCATGCAAACATGGAACTAGTAAACCCTACTTGTCACACAGCACTGATCCAAATGATGATGTTTCCCAACAACAGCACTTTGATCAAACTGAATTATTGCATAAAATTGAACATCAAAATCCTTTCTCTAGGTGCACCTAGAAAGGCAGTGTATAAGTTTGTGAAATGTAACCCTGAGGGCGACCAGGCCAACTGTGTGACACAACAAAGTCCATCAATGGCATGGAGTCCAGACCTACCCGCCAAACTGCCTGCTGCAACTGCACAGTATCTGTAAGTATTCCAGCAGTGTGTGTGTGTGTGTGTGTGTGTGTGTGTGTGTGTGTGTGTGTGTGTGTGTGTGTGTGTGTGTGTGTGTGTGTGTATTAGCCTGTGCAGCCTTGGGATGTGGTGGTTTTATTGCTTTGAGGAATGTGTGTGTCTTTGTAGCATTGGACTCTTATTATTCTGGAAAAACCAACCAACCAACACTTGGATAACATAGTATGATTAAATGCAGCATTGGATCCATTTTCTACGTAATTCCAATAACTCAACCTCTGTCCGTCTCTCTGTGGATGGATGTCTTTTGCTTGTGTTTGATAAATAATAATAATAATAGATTTGTTTTATTACGCATGCATGTCCATGTATGCATTTATGAGTGAGCAGTCGATCCGGAGTGAGACGGGGAGCCGGTGTAGTGAGTGTCGGGTGGGTGTTATGTGCTCATGTTTCCGGCCTCACATCAGGATCCTGGCAGAGCTGTTTTGGATGTATTGTAGTTCCAGGATACTCCTGCCAGCGATCCCAGGGAGAGTGAATTACATTAGTGATAGTAGATAAGTGGGAGGTAAGCAGCCAAGAAAAGCCCAAATGGAAAACAACATGCAGGGATAAAGAGAGGCAGGGAGGTTAGATCTGCAGTAAGGAAGAGCGTATGCGTTAATGGTCTACTTAAAATTGTCAGAGGGTAGCATTAGTATTACAGAAGTAGGAGTATACGTGATTTAAAGCAGTACGTGGACAGCTTTGTTTTACTTCCACATACTCCGGAATAAAAAGTGAGACATAAAATAGAAAAGAAAGATAATTCTAAAACCGATCATTTTAACTTATCAACTGGAAGGAAGGAACAATCTATTTGTGGTTTATACGCGGCTTGAAAAAGTGCAAAAAAGACAAAAAGGTTTGTTAAAGGTGAAATATGCCAAAAACTAGAAATACATTCAAACAGACTGTGTGTTTTAATCTGTGTGTGAGGAAAACATGGTCTCAGTCTTGGTCTCAGCCCTCAGTTTCCTCTTTTAGGGTTCCTCTCACCTCTCTGATCCACATCGATCAGATAATGTTTGAAAAAAAGAAAACTTTTCACAACTTAAAACCACAAATTCTATTTTATTCCAGCTGAAATCACACAGTGTGCTTTGAGTAGATTTAATCAGTTGTCATGAAACCAACACAAAAAAATGCAGAAATTCAATCCGTCATAAAAACAGGCTGCTTCCTATATCGCATTTTCACCGATATGTACAGAGATGATAAGACTGATCGCTTCGGTATTAATCCACCAAAGCACATTTTGGATGCTACTCCGCTGAGCCAATACGTTTATAACTCATTAGATACATCTTCATATGATCTAATCAGTATTATTGTTGTACAGTTGTTTCTTATGTTTGTACAAACTATTCAATAATCCATTTTGGATTGTTAACGACGGAGTGAATTATAAGGCATAGCTTTAAAAACCTGGATTATTCTTTGGGATGCTTTGTGTTGTTAGTCTGGGTCTTATCTGGCCTCCCACTTCAGTTTGCTCCAGGACCTGAGCAGCGGCAGCAGCTCGCCCCTTTTTCAGCTCGCCTTGAACAGGAAGTCAGAGGGAAGTGCTGAGAGGAAGTGCGCTGTGACGCCTGTCGGGCTGCTGCTTCTGTTCCATTGTTGTTTATCTCTATAGGTCCATACTAATGTGTGAAAAGTAAGAGATTATATGCAAACGGCACTTAATCTGAAATCTCTCTGTTCTTTACTTTGACTGGTTTATTTCAAGATCTTGTTCGAAAAAGGAACAGAACCAGTTTTGCTCTTTCGAGCTTTCCTTTTCTGTTTAAAATCATCAGCATTAGAAGGTTATGAGGTAACGCGTTGGTTGGCTCTTGATGTGACGTTTAATACCGAAGACTATTTAAAGACCCTACACACGGGGGTTTTACCTTATTTTGAGTAATTCCATTTTTTTCTTGTTGAAGTTAGTCAAGAGTTTGTCAAGTGCATTTAGTTAATCTTGTGCCTAATCCCATCAGAAGCCACTGCATCGATCCGTTCATATGGAGACATACTCTTCCCTCTTAGGGTTAGGGTTAGGGTTAGCATCAAAGAAAAGCCTTACATGAGGACACCAAACTTCATGTAGGCCAAGGTGCAGGCACAGCGAGACGGATGTTATTCAAGCCGCGCGGTCTTCAGATGGAGTTTAACCCGTTAAAATAAGTACAAACACCTGAGTAGGCAGAGCCTGGTAATTCGTAGCCGCTGTTATGACACCTCAACCCGTCTCTCAATAAGCAGACCAAAACCGTAACACATAACAAAGGTCTGAATCCTTTTTTGAAGAGACAACTTCAACGTGAACAAGCTCTCCTTCACCCAAACATGTAGTTGGCAGTAATTGGGCTACAACCAGCAATTATTTTCTTGATTTATCTTGTCGTCTATCAAATGTCAATGTATCTGATAGAAGTCAAACTATCAAAAAAAAAAAAAATTTCTTACATACAAATTGCTGTAAAATGAAAATGAATGAGTAAATCATTTTTTAAAAGTTACATTTTTTTCCTCCCTAGTTTTAATTTATTCAAGGTCTTTCTTTGTCTTAAAACATGTTTGCTTGGGATCTTTAAACCTTATAGTGTGTTTAGTTCATTAAGTTTTGTTACTTTGTTTGATGATGCAGTGAAAAGATAATTGAGGATGAGTTTACATGAACATAAGTGTTATTGACTGATGTGATGAAGTAGGACAGGCATTTTTCAATAACTAACACTATTTCCAGGGAGGCTGAGCCCGAGGAGGATGAGAGTCTGCTAGGGGAGGAAGAAGTGGATTTTGAGATGGATGAGGACGAAAAGCCCGACGAAATTGAAGCGGGCGAGTCACCTGTCGAGACCGGGGACGGTTCTGGAGGACATGAAGGCTCTGCAGACGTACTGGCGGGAGACTGGGCAATGGGTGAGACCGGCTCCGGAGTGTACTGGGCAGAGAAAGATGGGGAGCAATACAAAGGTGACTTTTTTTGCTGCAAGGATTTGTATTTTCCAAGGTACTGCTTCTCTCTCTCTCTCTCTCTCTCTCTCCTCCATGTAGTCTGATCTGTCCTTGTTTTCCCTCCTCTAGATGGGGATATGACCGGCATGAGGCGGGTGTTCCCAAGAAAGTCTGTGGTTGCTGAGGCAAAACCAGCAGAGCACGAGCTGAGAGAAGACCACCTTCTGCAGCTGTAGAACTCGTGCACCCACCGGCCCTAAGAACCACACACAAGGCTAGCATCTGTTTTTATTTCCACATTGTTTATTCAAATGGTAAATTTTAAACCTAGTTTTGCAGTACCACCTGGTGGTGTAAAAACACAGTTGCCCAGAGATTGACAAATGCCTAATATATTTTATATTCTCACTTAAAAGGTTTTTCAACCCGTATTTGCGCTTTCTTGTGGAAATGTTGTGTAAGTTGCAATGTGCTTTTTTACTATCAATTTAAAAATAATTGTAATACCAGTGCAATAAGATGGCACATTCATCCATGCATTGCTCACGCTGTGCCGCTTTACAGCTGTGGTTTGGATTATGTTCCTTTAAAACACACAAAAAACATTTGTTGAGGTTATTAGATCCCTTTGTCTCAAATATTGTGAACCTTTACCATACACATACCATACCATTGGGAATTTTTGGTCCACAAAGAAAAAAAGAGTAAGTTTTGTAAACCCAAACCCCTCAGGAATGAATTTGTGTAATATTAACCACTGTGAGCTGATATATATTGAAAATATATATTGTGCACCTGCATGGATTTCAACATGCTGGGAGTATTTTGTATTTGAAATAAAATAAAGGATTTATAAGAACAGTATCAATAATGTTTTTGCATGACTTTATCAAAACGGTCCAGATATCTGCTCTGTAAACTGTCTAATGAACTCCATCACCACCACAGTCAGGTACTTTGGGTAGTTTTGGGGTCAGTTTGTTTTTTAATTTGATGCCCATAAAGGTAATGAGATATTTTCTTTTATTTATTTAATATATCCTAAAAAATATGAACATGAGAATAGAAATTAAACATATAGTAAAACTTAACAATAGGTACTGTCTAAGTTCGTAATTGATAATTGAAGGGACCCCTGTCAAAAACGTGTGTTATGTGTTTTTAGAAAAAAATGTCTGGTATAGAAAAAACTATACCAGACAATTTTTGTTCCTTAAATATTGATCAATTATAGTGGCTATTTCCAAGTGTAACCTGTAGATCCCATTTGAATGAATCAAGGGATCTTGACATCATATCAAATCCTCAATCGTCATCTTCCAATAAACGCATTAATAAATCACAAATTGAAATATGCTCCCAATATGAATACTGGATGAACCAGTACTTGTCATTTCAACCTTAAACTAGTTTTTGTTAACATCCTCCTCGGTGGATTAGTATTACCCCCCCCCCAAACCAGAACACCTCACATGACGGGTCACATGACGTCAAGCCTCGACACCACCTCCTGCTTCACAGAGCGAGGCTAGCTGTTAGCTGTTAGCTTCACCTACCGGACTGACAGGCGGCCGACATGGTGAGTGTAGAACAAGCGCCAGCTGTTCGGCCCGTACCGAAACGAACCGGATTATTAAATCGTAAAATAAGAACGTGTACTCAGACCTGCAAGCCTCGCTTGACATCAACTAACTCGATATTTATAAGCGGACCGGAAAGCTACAGCCGGGCCGGTCGAATTAGCCTCGGAGCGAGGCCCTCGTCGCTTTCTCCAAGACGTTTTGGCTAACGGCAGTTAGCTCGCTAACCCGGGAGCTTCGTCTGATCATGAAAGCAACTAAGTGTTGGTCAGCAATTTAAATACGTTTTTGAGCTGGTTTATTTGTGTTAGTGGAGCTGCCAGCGGGCCTGAGGTAAATGTTAATGTTATCTAACGTCGCTGGCTGCTCCAGTGTGAAGTCTGGTGTCACAGAGTCATGTTCAACTCTGACGTGACGTAAATGTTTTAATGTTTGAATCAAAGGTTAGTTGGGAAAGTGCTGATCGCTTGTGCGTTCAAATAACTTATTTTAAGACCATTGCTAGTTGTCGCCCACTAACTTTGATGCACTGTTGCTGTCTCAACAATTTATTTCCTATTGTGAACCCCATTTGGTTGATTTTTGCTTCTATGTTATCTATGCATCCTTAAATCAGGGGATCCAATGGACTAAAAGCATCACACAACACACACACCCTCATATCCAGACAGTGACTGGTTTCCCCCTGACATCTTGATAAATGGGCTGATTCCTCCAGATTTGCTGCATGCTGAAGCATGTTTTTGTGACTCTTGCCAGCTCAGAAGGAAATAATGTGGCTATGCAGCCCGTGATAAGTGATTGAGTTAGTGTGACAATAGCAGATAGGGAGTAGCAGTGGAGATTAGTGACCACGTCACACTGTGATTGTTGTATTCAAATGCACATATACACAGATATTAACCTTGTGTTGGTGTGTTTGTGATTATTGGTCGTTGGTGTTGTCTGTTATTAGATGCGTGTTAAAATCCTCAAACGCCTTTGGCTGCTCGGTCTGTCCAGTTTTAAAGTGCCTGCAAACTACAAATGAATCATCAGCCCCGGTCACAAATATCCATAATGTCAGATGGGAAATTGTGACATTGACAATTGTGACATAGACTTGTTCTTTGTTGTTTTTGTTAAGTAGTCAGTTGTTTTTTTGACCTGCATCATTCAAATAAAGAGGAGTCTTGAAGATTAAAAAACAAAAAGTTGATCCTTTTCAGGTTAATATAGCAAGAATCTTCTGTTCATAATAACTCCTTTTTTGAAGTCTTAGTCAACATATTATGTCAACGTATTAAAACTGTCTGTTTTTGCGTGTAATACACTGTTTTCTATGCTCTTTGTTGTGATTTCAGAGTTTCCTAGGAGGTCTGTTTGGGCCGGTATGTGAGATCGACGTACTGCTGAATGATGCCGAGAACAGAAAGACCGCCGAGTTGAAGACAGAAGACGGGAAAGTGGAGAAACACTACCTGTTCTATGACGGGGAGTCTGTGTCTGGCAAGGTGAACTCATTTATACGGTACCAGTCAAACGTTTGGACACACTTTCTCATTCAGTTGAATAAGAACAAGATTACATTAGGATTCAGAGCTCTACAAGGTCCAGTAAGGTGTTCCTACACAAATGATATTCTTAATCTGCTGTCTTATTGTATTTAATGTTCTTCTTGACCATACCACAGTCTATTCTGGGATCCTCTCTTTAACCGAGCCAAGAGGGAAATCAAGTTTCTTTTCATGTGTGTGAAAGATTTTCTCTCCCTTAAAGTGAATCTATTTTCAGGAGCCACAAACGTTTTTTCTGATTCATCAGCTCTATTAACCAATATCATAGCATCCCATGTATCCGTGATAACACGGAAAAGCTCATTTTCAAGAGAAAAGTTCTATAAAAAGTAAACCGTCAGATAGATTGTTAACTTGGTTGTGTCAGACTGTTATTGTGACAACATACTTTTCGTGTATATGATACTTAAGCTACTCGCACATGTTCCTCCCAGGTGAATCTAAATGTGAAGCAGGGGGGAAAGCGACTAGAGCATCAGGGCATCCGCATCGAGTTTGTTGGACAGATAGGTGAGCATGCAGTGTGTGGATTCTAACCACAGTACCCAACTCTTCTGTTTGCTTCCTATTAATGTGATCTATTTCTAAATTGCCTCATGCAAAGTGGTGATAGGAAATATTTTAAATATTAATTAAATGCGTTGTCCTATAGCCGGACAAAATAACTTGTCGGCTTGTTGGCATGCCGGCTTTTTCATGTGGCTTAGCAGAGCATGTGGTTGTCATGTGCCGCCTGCAACAGTCGAGCTAAACCCTCCTCCAACTGTGTCTGCGGGAGGAGGAGTGTTTTAAGAGCATGGAATCTAAAGTAACCTTGTGTATAAATCTTCCTGTAGTGTGTCTAAACTGTCCTTAATTATATGCGCTCACTCTAAATCCACTCCGCTGTATTTCAGAGCTTTTCTCGGATAAGAGCAACACCCATGAGTTTGTGGACTTGGTGAAAGAGTTGGCTCTACCTGGAGAACTCACCCAGAACAGGAGCTACGACTTTGAGTTCATGCAGGTGGAGAAGCCCTATGAGTCCTACACTGGAGCCAATGTCAGGCTACGGTATGTTTATTACACAGTTTGACTTGAGGCGGCTTCTTTAATCATATTAATCAAAAGGGATGTATTCATGAAACCCATGTGATGTTGATGATGGGCCTGGAACTTCAACATCTAGTAGCCATGTTCAATATTATTATTATTTTTCCTCTAGTGCTGTAAGGGGGACATTTTGGGAAAGACTCCCAGGGATCAATACATGTATTGCTGATAATAGTAACAGCAGTGCTGAAAGCATCACTGTAATGTATGATTTTATTGTTAACAATGTCTCTCAGCAACTCCTACAACAGTACATGAAATAATAATGATGAAATACACTGACTGCGTTGAGTAAAAACATAATGTTTAAGTTTTTTTTTTTCTTACTCCCGCAAGTATACGTCAGAGAATTATCTTTGGATGAAGACACATTCAGCCTTATTGATGCCGGACTCTTGAGGCTCGTGTTCATAAGTGTGTTCTTCTCACAGGTATTTCCTCAGGGTGACAATAGTTCGTCGTCTGTCTGACTTGGTCAAGGAATATGAGCTTATTATCCACCAGTTGGCTACCTACCCGGACGTCAACAACTCAATCAAGATGGAGGTCGGCATAGAGGACTGTCTGCACATTGAGTTTGAATACAATAAATCCAAGTAAGCTTCATGTAGCTTTCCCGGTGAACTCCTTTTATAGCCGCCTTCTTTCGCCAGCCACACAACCAAATAAGGTTAACTCATGTCAGTCTAAACAGCTTCCCTTGATGTGTCTCTTCGGTAGATACCACCTCAAGGACGTGATTGTTGGGAAGATCTACTTCCTGCTGGTCAGGATCAAGATCCAACACATGGAGCTGCAGCTCATCAAGAAGGAGATTACCGGCATAGGTGAGAGTCCTATCCGACACACATGAGCTGAGTTTGGTTTGCTTAAGTCCCGGCGAGAACAGAAATGTCGGTCAGCTCTGCTCCACTTTCCCTATAGCATCACTTGTGTGATTTTTCTCCTCTGTTTTAGGTCCAAGTACTACCACAGAGACTGAGACGGTGGCAAAGTATGAAATCATGGATGGAGCTCCGGTTAAAGGAGAATCCATTCCCATCAGACTCTTCCTGGCAGGTAAATTGATTTTTTTTCCCTTCATTTTCTCCTTCGTCTTCTCCCGCAGTTACAAAGATATAAGAGACGGTCAACTGCAAGTCGCATCATATCATGGAGTCCGTTTGCCCCTTATTAAATCCTTTGAAAAGCACGTTTTCTACTTTTAAGACCGTGCATCACATCTTCTGTGTGTTTACAGGATACGACCTGACAACCACCATGAGGGATGTCAACAAGAAGTTCTCTGTACGCTACTTCCTTAACCTGGTGCTGGTAGATGAAGAGGACAGGAGATACTTTAAACAACAGGTGACACACGCAAATCAATTGTATTCTAAATCAGCGAGATGAAACATGTCACTGTTTCTCCTGCACACAGAAACACATAGCATTATATAAAGTTGCCTCTGTCTCATATAGTATTGTATCATATCGGTGCTTTACTGCCAATCTTTCTATTTTCATCAAACGATAACGTGAAGAAGACAACGAAATTGATGTGCACAATGCAGATTTGAATACATCCGCTCTATCTTTAGCCACACTTCCCACTTGGAGCCTTTGATGAGTAACACTGAATGTTGACAGTGCCACTAGATCCTTCTTGTCTGCCTCTGTGTTCAGGAGATTGTTTTGTGGAGGAAAGCTCCAGAGAAGATCAGGAAAAGAAACTTCCAGCGCTACGAGTCGCCCGAGCCCCGAACCCAGCCAGTTACCGCCGAGCAGCCGGAGATGTGATCGCAATGCTATGAACTGACAATACACACAGAAACACACCAACTCATCACTGCTGAACAGCCAGAGGGGGGGAGGGCTGCCCCACCCATCTCCCTGGACTGAGAAATATACACATAACATACATGCAGACATGCCCATCACTACTCCACAGCTTCAGATGCGAGCGGCCGGACCCCCTTCACCCCTCCCACCCCCCCCGGACTGAAACACACCCACGCACACACCCACTCGCATTCAACCCACTGAGGCTGAAGGCTAAATGTCAAGGTCAGAGTGCAAATCCAACCAACCCACATTAGGAACACAGAGGAAGCCTGTCTGATCTCGGGGTCCCGATTGAAAACACACACACACACACACACACACAAATGAAGCCATACAGTCTCAGTTTGCTGAAAGGATAAAAAAAAAAAAAAAAAACTGGAGCTAAGCCGGAAGAGAGGGGATAGCAACACTTCCGCTTCTTTTGTTTTCATATTTGGACAGCCATCATTCTGGACTGTCACAAAATGTGAAATGTCTGGACGGGATGGCCGGGGATTTAAAGTAGTCGAGACACGTGGAGGTCCGCATGAACGAAGGACACGAGAGGCTAAGATATGAGGGAACACGCAACTCTTGAGTTAAAGCTACGCTGAGTTAAAGCTACGTTGATCCGCTGTCTTCTCACTCGACCACCAGGCTGGGAAATCCGGAGTTTCATAGTGGCCCGCAGGCTGCTTCTTCCATGCACGTGTCTGTTTGGTGCAACAAATGTCCATCTTAACATAAACCTATTCTTCTATTCCATTGTTCGATGTGGCTGTTTTGTGAAAATGAAAAAGATTCCATATGCTAAATTTTGCATGTTTTCAGTGTCTGTGCCCATTTCATTCCGATCAAGCAACGTTTGATTCCATTCGGTCTGTAAAATGTCCATCATAGTAAACCCAGCGCCTTAGGTTGCGTCTACAAAGGTCCGCTTTTTGTCTGACCAACAGTCCAAATGTATTGACAAGAAGAAAAAAAAACAAGCGTATTTCTTAGTCAATTTACAAATAGGCGAATCGTTGCTCTGAAAGCATCAAGCATTCAAATTCGCTGCTTGTCCAATATTCTTGAGCTCAGTACAATGTTTGAGTGATGTTAAGATGAATATTTGATGCACTTTTCACGGATTGTCTGGGATGGCCTCCAAAAAGATTTGGGGATTCCATCTGGCACGAGACTTTTTGTTTAATCTTTAGAGTGGTGTTTCTATAAATTATTTAATCACCAAAAACATTTGGGATTTTCTTTTTTTACTCAATTACGTGAGTTATCTGGATTCATTTGGAGTTTCTTTTACCTCCATTTGATTGGATTCAAGGATGCAATTGTAGAGGGATCGCAACCTGCGGCCATATTAAATATTTCTGGCTAAATATCTTTTTTTAATTTTTTTTTTATAAAACCTACTTTTTGGAACCGTTAAACTCTCCCACTCCAATCTCACGTCCGTAGATTTTTCTTCTATATCTTAAAATCAAAGTTTAAAAAAAAGTCCTCTTGCACCTGAACATGTAGGTTTCATCCCCACCACACAATCAGGGTTCACAGGGATCACAGTCTCGGGTCTGCTGCTGTTAGAGCAGGAAGGGATGCAGAAATATTCCACTGTGACGCTCAGACGGGAGGTTTAGGTCATGCTTTAAAAGCACGCGTCCACACAGTCCGGTGACGTTAGCGGGCTCTTTTGTTGGATGAATTTGGCCTCAAGCGCTGATCCGGGGCCGGTTTTGCACTTTTCCCTTCGATGCTTAACCTGGTTTCAAAGGGGCTTTGAAGCTAAAAGTAAACATCGCTCAAGGACGACTTCACCTCAGATCTCCTGGTTCTATATTTGAAATTATGCTGACATTTATACTACTTGTGTTCGTTGGACTAGCTAACACGTCCAGAATTTGGTTGCTCTTTATCTCTTTCATGTAAAAGTCACGCTGTCATGTCTTTTACAGTTCTGATGTATTTGTTCTTTTGTAGTTTGCTTTTGTTTGTTTGGGAGCAGCGACATTTATCAAAGTCAAAGCTGTCCTGTGAGACATTTTGTGTCTTTTCTAACAATGTACAGGTAGGGTTTGTTTGGTGTACTTTATAAGTACCTTCCAAGGTAATGAAGAATCACTTAAATACCCAAACTCTCTGCCCCTGTCTTAGCATGTTCATCTTTACACAATGTCTAATCATGGCGTGTTTGTGTGCGCTTGTGTGTGTGTGTGTGTGTGCGCGTGCGCTCGAGATATACACCTAGCCCAAATATATAGCCCAAATGAATCGTGAATAAAGAATTTATACAGAATATCTTTTTAACAACACTTTTCTTTAAAACAACCTATTGCCTTAAGAGTTGTTTTGTGGGTAAACAAGTACATCTCGTGTTTATTGCAGAGATTGAATTCATCCAACAAGAAGTGTCTTTGTGGAACAATACTCTCAGCCTTAATTGGAGTTATTCAAACAGGCATTCAATAAGATAATTTGGCTTTTTTACTTGATAACCACTTAAGAACGTTTACATGAGGTTTCAGACTAAGACTTTCATTTCTTACGTCATTGTAAATTATTTTTAGGATCAGGAAACATTTAATTCCATAATATGTCAGACATACAAGGAATTTGACTTTGCGGTTGGAGCGTGGTTAGCTATTTAAATTCAGTCGTTGTAACATTGCATGTAGTACGGAATGAAAAGCAGTCAGTTTATCTTTAATAATGGCCACAAGCCCGCTTATAGACAAAGATACATTCAGAAAAAAATAACCACTTTTGTATTGATGTCTTGAACTATAATAGAATTGGAGATATAGAAATATAGATTTACGAGACACAATCAGGACTACAGGTCTGCCTGAACAATAAAGAACGAGTAATTTCAGGTCAGGGAAAAGACATTACCACCATTCAAAGGTTCTAAGAGACTTTGTAAACTGGGCATTTGTTGGACGGCGAGACAATCATTAGAGTTAAATACGATCATTGAGCTATAGAGACATTCTTATATGCCTGTTGATATCGTTAATAGTTTGCTACACAGTTTTCCCAAACCAAACAATAATAGACCGTACTATATTACTGGATAGCTTTGGCTCATTTACAAGAGTAGCTAAGATTACGTTTATAGTAAAAAACATATTTTTAACTTGATTTTCATTCAGGCACATTTGCGGGCAGCTCTACAGCGACTGGTCCTGTTCCACGTTGTAAAAGCAGGAAGAGGAATGTGTTGACCGTCCTCTGGTGGAGTGTGTGCCGTGTAATCCACACATTTTAACATGCTTAGCAGTATGAAGCAACAGTAGCACACACTTAGTTCGTAGCCCGCTCGAGGTGCCGACATCTGGGGCAGGAACTGGCCGCAGAGATGTCTCTAAACCGGTGTGTGTATTTGTTTTCTCGACTTCAACGCCACATTAGCACCCGGGCTACCCGCTCCGCTGCTGGGTCCGCACACCAGGCTGGTCCGGTGGTTTGCTGCAGACACGTTTCATCTAACAGCTCCTCTCCAAAACCTCCGGACACGTCTCTGTTTGTCCCCATCGCCCTGAAGACGGACAGCTTGTCGGACGGTAGCGTGGGAATCGAGCTGACGCAACCACTCGACAAAAGTTAGTGGATTTAGGTGGAATAACAATAATAATGATAACAAGTGACAATTAACCTAATGCTGCTGCTTTTCTCTCTATCAACACTATATTAGACATCTAGTGGACAGTATTTTAATGACTTATGAGTTAATAATAGACTTAAACCGTGTGTTCTGCTTCAGGTGAACTTCTGAAAGTTCTCAATCGGTTTTATAAGAAGAAGGAGATGCAGAAGCTGGCAGCAGACCATGGCCTGGACGGTGAGTATTTAATTCACATCTTTTAAACGCTGAATATGTTTACAATTGAATGACTTATGATTCAATTTAAACGTCCCTTAAATTAGAGGCAGCCTGTAATGTCATTGTTTTGTTAGACAAAATTGGTGTGCTTTATTTTTTGTGTATATACAGCTCGTCTGTTCCACCAGGCCTTCATTAGCTTCAGGAAGTATGTCCTGGATGAAACGTCACTTCCCGCCGATCTGCACATCATCCTTAGTGACATCTGCTCTGGAGCAGGTTTCTATTATTATTATTATTATTATTATTATTTTAGTTCCAGGTGGACTTGTGTTGAGATCACGCTAATTAATTTAAGAAATTCAGAATCTATTAAACTTCAGTGTCTGCTGTTCCACAGGGCATGTTGATGATATATACCCGTACTTTATGCGTCATGCCAAGCAAATCTTTCCAATGCTGGACTGTATGGATGACCTGAGAAAGATCTCAGACCTCAGAGTCCCTGCTAACTGGTACGTAGATCAGCGCGTGGCTCGGACGTGTCACAGCAACGGTTTATTTATGTATACTAATAGTACTTTGTGTGTTCGTCAGGTACCCCGATGCTCGTGCCATCCAGAGGAAGGTGATTTTCCATGCCGGTCCCACTAACAGTGGTAAAACCTACCATGCCATCCAGCGCTACCTGGCTGCTAAGTCGGGAGTCTACTGTGGCCCCCTGAAACTACTTGCCCATGAGATCTTTGAGAAGAGCAACGATGCTGTACGTGTTTGTCTTTGTCATCTGTTTGGTTAAAAAGAAAGTTTCTACAACGCAAGCGTTACATTGTCGAAGGAACATTATTTTCTCAGTTTCTATTGTGTCTGTCTGTATTTCTAAGATGTCTCTTTTGATCTATTGTCCTGTTTAAAATTCATTTGTATTTCCAGGGAGTGCCCTGTGACCTGGTTACTGGAGAGGAGAGGACCTTCATGGACTCAGACGGTCGAGCATCTGGCCATGTGGCCTGTACCATTGAGATGTGCAGTGTCACCACACCTTGTTAGTAGACCTAACGCATACAAACATTCTATTAATAGCATAAGAATAACAATCCTTTGTTGTACCATATCATAAGTTTTTCTTTTTGTATGTCTCTCCAGATGAGGTGGCTGTAATCGATGAAATTCAAATGATCAGAGATCCTTCCAGAGGATGGGCCTGGACCAGAGCACTGCTGGGTTTGTAACACGCATTCAAAAGCACAAACACACACACAATCTGTTGAGCGGCTAAATATCTCAACTTTTTATTTAGCATAAGACAAAAAAGGTATAATTTAAATATTATTTTACTATTCAGTCAATGCCCACATAAACAAATGTGTAAAAGGCTTCAACCTTCAACAAACCTACTGAATGCAGATTTAGCATGTTTTCTTAGTACAGATTTTAACTTCATCATTGATTGTTGTTTCTGACTTAGTCAGCTGACGCCTTTGTCTGTGCAGGTCTCTGCGCAGAGGAGATCCACGTGTGTGGCGAACCTGCAGCCATAGACTTTGTCAGAGAGCTGATGTACACTACTGGAGAGGAGGTGGAGGTGAGGCTCTGATGAAGAGAAACGGCCCACTGATATTAACCACAGCTTAATTCTTTTGATGTTCTTGGGTAAACTGTCTCCCTCTCCTCTCTGTGTCCCTCCACTCCTCCCTCTCTAAGGTCAACACCTACCAACGGTTGACTCCATTCTCCATTTTGGATCACGCCGTGGAGTCATTGGAAAACTTGAGACCAGGAGATTGCATAGTCTGCTTCAGTAAAAATGACATCTACTCCATAAGCAGACAGATTGAGGCCAGAGGACTGGAATGTGCTGTCATTTATGGAAGTTTACCTCCTGGTGAGAATTTTTTAGAGGAATGTTAAGATAACTGCATGTTTTAGAGGAATGTTAAGATAACTGCATGTTTTAGAGGAATGTTAAGATAACTGCATGTTTTGTTCAAGAAACCAAGGATTATGTTAATCTGGTCCTTAAAAGGTAACACCTGTTTCACTTTTCTATAAATTGGTCTCTTGTGTTAATTGAAGAAAGCGTACATGGGTGAATAAAATAATCTGAAGATCATCTTTTCTCCTAAAACATCATCAAAATAATAAAAAAGTCTTTAGTGTGATTAAAGAGCTCCAGGCTTTGATTTACAGGCACTAAGCTGTCACAGGCTAAAAAGTTCAATGACCCTGATGACCCCTGCAAGATACTGGTTGCTACAGATGCTATAGGCATGGGCCTTAACCTGTAAGTACCATCACGCATACTGTACTACCATTAAGGGTTTCTGTCATTGAAATTATACGTACATACATATTTAAAGCTCAGTGAATGCCACATTCTATTCATATTTTGTATCAACCTCTCCTATGTTGTGTCTTTATATCTGTCTGAATAGGTGATTGGGAAACATTTAACTGTCTGTTATTCTGTTTGGTGGCATGTCGAGCGTCCACCACTAAGAGGTGCTGTCATAGGTCATGAGGTCATGTCATAGGATTTCATCTTTAATCCTGTTAATCATATAACAATTAATCTTCATGGTTTACCAAGGCAGTGAATTAGTCATGTTAAGATTTAAGAAAATGTTAATAAATCTTGTCTGTCTTTGTGTGTCTCCACAGGAGTATACGACGTGTCATCTTCAACAGTCTGATAAAGCCTAATGTTAATGAGAAAGGGGAGAAACAGATGGAGACCATCAGCACATCACAAGCTCTGCAGATCTCTGGCCGCGCGGGGAGGTCAGTCTCATTTTCACACACATTATCCTCATCCGGGGCGATTAAGCGTTACTATCTTTACAACTTGTTTACAATTGTAATGCAAGTAAGCAAAATGTCTTTAGAGCGCTTTTCATAGACCAAGGTCACAAAGTGCTTTACAGGGCAGGAATCAAACATGTAGAGAAAAACACTGTCTGACCAAAGCAGGATTGGGACATTGGTTTTACACAGACGCCCGTCTCACGTGGTGCGTTTTGTACAATAGGACAGACTGTTGTAGTCCGTTCCAGCTTTAACGGGCGGCGGGACCACCGCATCAATGACGCAGAAAAAATAAGAGCTATAACGAGGCACACCTCTCCCTGTGCTTTACAAGCACCGTGGTCGGCCAAGAAGATTCCTACATCATCAAAGGGGGTGTTAAGAGAAGATGCAGTACACGCACTCAGACAGACAGACAGAGGGAGGCAAACGCACACAGGAAGGTTCTCCAAACTGTCTTTGTTGTTATTTTCTGAAACCCGTTTCCTCTTTCACATCTTCAGGTTTGCCTCCAAGTTTAAAGAGGGAGAAGTTACCACCATGCACACAGACGATCTGCCTGTTCTGAAAGAAATACTCAGCCTCTCTGTGGAACCCATAACGGTGAACATTTATACACAAACATTAAATCGAACACCCACTGTGAGGTAAAGGTATCCGTAGAATATGGAGCACAACGTGTGTCTAATCAGTGTAATCTACACCTCCCTCTTGGTCTCAGACTGCAGGTCTCCATCCTACAGCAGAGCAGATAGAGATGTTTGCGTACCATCTACCGGACGCTACACTGTCAAACCTTGTTGTGAGTATAGATATCTATTCATCTCTTAACGCTTGACATTAGGATCACAACAGCACCGTACATGAAGAGATCTACGTGTCCATTAAGAATACAAATAGGTGCTTAGGAGAAGTTTCACTGTGGCCTCATCTTCTCACTCTGACAAGTGTTTTGACTCCTTCTTCGTGCAGGACATATTTGTCAGTCTCTCCCAGGTAGACGGTATGTATTTTGTCTGCAATATTGACGACTTCAAGTTTCTGGCTGATATGATTCAACACATTCCGCTCAACCTGAGGTCGCGCTACGTCTTCTGTACTGCTCCCATCAACAAAAAGCAACCATTTGTATGCACCTCCTTCCTAAAGGTAAGGATATTAAGAAAAAAGTAAATCTAGGTTTTTGTATGGAAACCTGCAAAAGTTTCCATGGACCTGTTTATCTAAGACATTTTGGTAAATGTCACTGACAAGTGCTCAACTAGTGTTGTAGATGTAGTTCAGTTCACGCTTGACTGATCAAAATCTTTTCTTTGTTGAACAATATTCAAAAGTTCGTGACGATCGGTCACATTTCTTGACGTCGGATTGTTCTCTCCGTCAGACTCCGACCTTTATTTTTTATGCCTGTATGACCCTGTAGATTGTGGGGGATCAGGTTGATTTGACAAGCAGAGGCAACACTGGAGGGAAAATAGAAATGATTAATTAATAGTAATATCTGTGTCATGTTATTTTGGTGTCAGACGAGCCATACAGAGTGAAAACTCAAACAAGACATTTGGTCTGTATTCAAAGATCATCTCATGATTGGGATTATTTTAATATGATCCTGTATTTATTAATGATACGACGCTGCTCAAAACATGTTAAAAGTTTCCCTTATTGATTTAAAGTTGTTTTGTTGCAGTGATTTTTTAATCTTGTGGTTTCTCTCAGTTTGCCCGTCAGTTCAGTCGTGACGAACCCCTGACCTTCGACTGGGTGGCTCGCCATGTCAGCTGGCCTCTGTCTGCCCCCAAAAACATAAAAGACCTGGTTCACTTGGAAGCTGTTCACGATGTGTTAGATCTTTACCTCTGGTTAAGGTAATGTTGTGTTTTTGACTCTTCTACTTCTGATATAAATGTGTTTGATCGGAAGTTGCTGTTGGATATAATCCTGTTGTGTGAAAACATAATAATAATAACAGTCATATTTAGTCTTCACAGTGTGAATGTATTTTTGTCCGTCCCCCAGCTACCGTTTCATGGACATGTTTCCAGACACGGCCTTGGTTCGGGGGACCCAGAAGGAACTCGATGAGATCATACAGCAGGGCGTCCGAAACATCACCCGGCTCATCAGAGCCGCTGACCCGACAGTCACCGGCCCGCTGCAGACGCAGGGCAGCAGCGGTGGACAAGCAGGCGGTAAAAACGCAAACGCGGGCAGCAGAGGTCAAAGGGGGCAGCGGGGCCTGGGAGAGACTGACAGCTCCCTGGCCGGTCGTCTGGTGAGAGACGGGCTGTTGACTCCCGATCTGCTCCGGCAGCTTCAGAGGGAGTGGTCGAAAGATCGGAAGCAGGAATTCAGCAATCAGAGTGCTCTGGCCACAGAACCCGCCAGTAACAACAAAGAGAAGCGAAAGAAGAAAAGGAAATGATCAAAAGACGCTGGAGGTCGACGGCTGATACGTGCCCTGAATGATCTGGTGGTTTGGTTTTTACTCCTGGAGGGATTGTAACCAACTTTTAGCCGCGGCGGTGAAAAGACGCCACGTGTGTCAACACGAGAGCAGTGGACTGAGGTTTACATCCGAGTACTGGGTCATTAAATGTTTCCATGTGAATTTCTGTTTTTACGCTGCTAAGGTCTCCTCTTCTGTCCTCCTGTTTAAATCACGCAAAGAATCTACTTGGAAACTGTCAAATTATCCCAACAACAGACCTTATTGACCCCACTTGGATTTTGCTGAAAAATAAATATTACAACACAGGCACAGTTGTTACAGACAGCAACCTTCTGTTTTACCACATTTCACTGCAGAGTGATGCTGTGTGTAAAATGCACAGCACTGTTTGTGCGTCTTATGCAGGTAAGGAATCAGTTTGCTTTAATCTTTCTCAGTTGGGTCAGTGATAAATCCTCAGAAAGAGCGTTGGTATGCATTCACCTTAGATTATAGTATATCCCTGTTGGTGTCCAAGTACAGATACTTTGCCATGTTTGTTTGCATATTTAAGGGCAGATGTTGATAATCTTTTAGGATTCTTCGTTGCTTGTTTTATTTTCTATCATGCAGCTCACCCGGGAGTAATAAAATAATACAAATGGTTTTCTCAATATAGTCAAGATTTACCTTTGTGAATTTTCATGAGTTCACAAGGTATCAAGGAGATAAAATCCAATGTGTATTAATGCGTCTGATAAGAAACCATATGAAGTTATTACAGAACAATCACTACTGAGGGACAAGTTTGATTAGGAAAAACATGTATGATGGAAGCATATATGTATGTTATCATCCACGGTCTGCCTGAACAGTATAGTTGGCCTCCATTCTTCACGGGTATTCAAATCTCTGAACTATTCCATCAAATGTAAATATTGTAGATGTTGTTATGCAATATGCACACTTTTGCAAAATTCTGCCTTAAATGTCTTTGGAATCTTTGGGGTCTTTATCAGAATATAAAAGGTGTGATGCAACGTTTAGCTGCTCAACATGAGTTTGTAGTAACTAGTTGTAATGCTGCTTAATGAACCATTCAAGCTAAAGATTCAGTCACTGGGTTAATTCACCAACGATGCATTATCAAAAAAGTCAGCCTACTCTGCTAATGTTTTGTTGCGGTTTCTGCACTGAAAGTTGAGTGTCTGTCAGACAACTGATACTAAAAGAAGATTGGGCTGGGCGGAGGGCTGGAGAGATTGGAGGAAATGATGGAATCAAGGGGCTTGGCTTGTTGTTAATCATTGAGTTCTGCACAGTGGTACAAAACAAGACAAGATCAGGAGGAGAAAACAGACTGTATGTCAGTAGTTGCACTCTTATATCACTACCAAACCAACTGGATACTTTTAATGGTGGTTTGTGTTGCACATCAAGATGTTTGTCGTTCATATCGTTGCCTCGTTCTTCTCCAAACTCCAAGAGGATCCCACAAAGAAGGTAAGCGCTTCGCCTCTGCTTAATTTAACTTCATAGTAGCAATAATTTTCAGCATTAAAGAGACTTCTGCTACAGAAGCGCTATTGTGTGACAAAGATTGCTGTGATCTATTAAAACTTTAGTCCCATTTAAAAGCCGTCACTTTCTATAAAGTGAATTTGCTAAATTGTAAATGTATTTTTTTTAATCTGATCTCATTACTGTATAACATTTTAAATAGAAATCAAAGTTCAAAAAAAAAAATAGTATCAGACTTTAATTTTGTTTTTAAAAAGCAAAATACGTGCTTTCATTTATTGCACCAATGTAGTGCTGCAAAAAAATAAAAACAGACAAATCATGGCATTTATGATCTTATCCAACAGAAAAAGCAGCAGTCTGTTCTGCAATAAGACTGTCGCGGTGCTGTTATCATTAGTTACTGTGTCACCGATCGTTTCTCCTGAGCAATGATTAACATTTCTCCCCATACGCCTCTTTTAGTGCAGATGGGATCAACACACACTCTCTCAGGGACAAAGTATTGACACTCCGCCATGGAACACTGCACACACATCCACACGTACACAAAAACTGTGAAGCGCAGCCAGTGACACCCCTCCTCCCCCCCTTTAACATGACACAACCCTGATAGATTTGCTGAGTATGCAGGTTGGGACTGAGCAAAAGCTTTTTGATCAATACGCCTCTTTTGTGCTCATTTCTTGAGAGGAATGGCAGGTTTTCCTTTTATTTATACACTTTACTCCCATTGATAAAAAAAAAGTCTCCTCTGTCTCCTCTACCTTCATGCGGCACTCCTGCAAGCCACAAAATGACCTTTAAGCTTTTGATACAGGTGTTACATTTGAGTCGAGCCCGGGCTGAAGTGACTCTTGCCACATACAAACCCTAAAAAATAAAAGTATTTACTGAAATTGGTTAACTTTTCAAAATAAGTCCAAATCTTCACCCCAATACAAATATATCCATAATGATTAAGATTGAGTGCGCGTAACACATTTCTTCAGCTGCTGCTCTTTGTTTATCACTTTGTTGTCTGTATCGTTTCTCTTTGCCTTTTTTGTTTGCTTACCGTTGGCTGTGTTTCACCTTTAGGTGGACAGGTTTCTGTACGCCATGCATCTCCATGACGACCAGCTAAGTGACATCTCAGCCCGTTTCCAGGCTGAGATGAAGAAGGGCCTTTCAGTGGAGAGCAACGCCGCAGCAGCGTTAAAGATGCTGCCAACACACGTCCGCTCCACCCCCGATGGATCAGGTAAAGGTGGAGAAACACATAACACATGCATACAGTACAGATTATACATCGTACTGTATACACCCCCCCCCCCCCCCCCTCCCTCCCTGTGCTGCAGAAAAAGGGGAGTTTCTGGCGTTGGATCTCGGAGGCTCCAGGTTTAAGGTGCTCCAAGTTAAAGTGGGAGAGGCCACGGGTATTAAGAAGGGAGGAGTGGAGATGGTGGAGAAGACCTACCCCACACCTGAGGAGCTGCACCTCGGGAGAGCAACAGAGGTACGGGGAGGGGGAAATGCAGAGGGCGAGGGCGGCTGGAATTCTAGAGGGAGCAGAAAAAGCTACAGGATCAGCTACATGAATGTAAAAAATTGTAGACAAGGATGGGAACAGCAACCGAGTGTTGGCTGGTCAAGTTTTTCTTCTTCCTAAGGTCTTCTCTCCTTCTCCAGCTATTTGACCATGTTTCCGAGTCTCTAAAAGACTTTCTACATGAGAAGAACATCAGTTTGGAGAGGAAACATCCCCTAGCCTTTACTTTCTCTTTCCCCTGTGAACAATCCACCTTAAATCAGGTAATGACACAAAATCCATCTAGCCTTCAACAAACTGCACCTGAAGTTTATCTTTTATCTTATTATTTCATTTCTTTCTCTTTAGGGATTATTGTTAAACTGGACTAAGAACTTCCGGGCTGGAGGCCTTCAGGGTAAAGATGTGGTCCAGGCCCTCAGAGGGGCATTAGACAGAATTGGGGTAGGACACCTGTATTCACCACAATACACATCTGTAAATGTATACTCACAAACTATATTTCATGTATTAGACACCAATAAAGGTACTGAGAAATTCTAAAAATCATACCCAATTTCATCACTTCGATATAACTGCACGTTTTTAGAAATACTTCTGTTGGTATATGAACTATTGTGTTGATGATGTTAATTTATAATCCCTCAAACTGCAGGGTGTGGACGTAGAGGTATTGGCCATGGTTAATGACACCGTCGCAACTATGATGACCTGCGGTTTTGATGACCAGCAGTGTGAAGTCGGTCTCATTATTGGTGAGTATAAAAATACAGATTTACTAATGTCATGTTAATTATCCACCAGCTCTTAAATCAGACCTTTGCACTGGAGCTGAGCTGCCGTGCTGTGACAAACAATTACCACCAACGCCGTTGCATTTCAATAAGAGAGCACAATGCATCTAATGGTTACACACGTTATCTCCAACTCCCTGCACTCATATTGTGAAGGCCATTAAGTGACTTTGTTTTGAAATGTATTTGTGTGTATTTGAACCAGGTAAAGAGCCGTTCTAATGTTCCATCTTTATCTTGTGAATAGTTTTGTACTGTAGATTAAAGTTAGATTAGGATTTCATTTTACGCTTAGATTAGATTAAACTACCTGTGATTATTTAAGGTTAAAGTTCAAATGAATGTAACCGGAGGAGCGTCTTTGTAAAGTAAAACCATGGATGTCCTGTACGTCTGTGTGATTAGGTACTGGCACCAATGCGTGCTACATGGAGGAGCTACGTCACATTGACTTGGTGGAGGGGGACGAGGGCCGCATGTGTGTGAACACGGAGTGGGGAGCCTTTGGAGACGACGGAGCTCTGAAGGATTACGTCACAGAGTTTGACAGGGATTTGGACGCAGCCTCCAACAACCCAGGAAAACAAATGTGAGGAGAACACCATTGATTTTTCTCATAATATGACATGTTATGCAGCACGATATGGTTGACACCATAAAAACTACAAACCTCCTCTGCTCCTTTGTCTTCTCCTACGCATAGCCTGGAGAAGATGGTCGGTGGGATGTATCTGGGCGAGCTAGTAAGGCTGGTTGTATTAAAGATGGCGAAGCTCGGGCTGCTGTTTAAGGGACAGGTGTCTAAGGCCTTGAGGACTAAAGGGACAATAACCACTGAACATGTAGCGGCCATGGAGGAGTAAGTCATCTTTCTTTCCTGCCTGCCTCTCTCTCTCTCTCTCTGTAAGGAACCAAATGATTCCATTCACGTCTGTCTATCTCAGGTACAAAAATGGTCTGAACAACACCAGAGACCTTCTCATGGGTCTCGATTTGATCCCGACGTTTGATGACTGCGTTGCTGTTCAACACGTCAGCACCATAGTGTCCTTCAGGTCCTCGAATCTGGTGTCAGCAGGACTGGCTGCCATCTTGACCCGAATTATGGAAAACCGCAATTTGAGGAAATTAAGGATCACTGTAGGTGTGGATGGAACTGTGTACAAGATGCATCCACAGTAGGTTATTTTTGGAGTGTTCAACAAAATAAAAATGATATTTCTGTGTGCACATAATTGAGATGTAGCATATTGAATTTTCATTCTTACTAGTCCCATTTTAATAGAAATTACTTAATCATTTTTAAGGCTTCTCTTTTGATTAATTAACTTGCCACGCGTTGCCGTCCAAAGGCAGAGTGATGTCGACGCAGCTGCTGCGGATGACCAAGAGCAACTCAACATTGGACTCGTTTCCTTTCAGGTATCCTAAACGTCTCCATAAAGTAGTGCGGCGGCTGCTCCCCGAGTGCCACGTCAGGTTTGTCCTCTCCGACAGCGGAAGCAGCAAAGGAGCGGCGTTGGTCTCGGCCGTGGCCCAGCGGCTGGCTTCACGAAGGCGACAGGTTAGGATGCTGCACGTGTCTGCTGTGGTATAATGTAGTTGTTGTTGTTTTTTGCAAATGCATGCATTTAATCCTGCTAATGTAAAGTAATCTCTTCCATGTAATCGCAGGTGGACGGGATGCTGTCACCTTTCAGACTGAGCCAGGAGCAGCTCCGGTTGGTGAAGACCCGGATGAGGACGGCGCTTGAAGCAGGACTGAAGAGCAAAGGCTCCTCTGCTGTCAAGATGCTGCCTTCTTTTGTTTACCGTACACCTGATGGCACAGGTAAGCACCCAAATGAATAATAATAATACATTTGCTTCAATTGACCGTGAAGAAATGCACCTGAATCATGCAAAAGCTGATGAGTTTGTTGTGTTCTTCAGAGCACGGAAAGTACCTGGCGTTGCATCTGGGAGAAACAAACTTCCGAGCATCGCTTGTGAAGTTCAAACAAGGTCTGCAACATAACTCTCGACTCTACAACAAGATGTACACCATACCCCTGGAGATAAAGCAGGGGAGTGGAGAGGAGGTACGCTATGTAGTTGTTGTGTGAACTAATTTGGCTTCACGTTATCTAGGAAGCTGAAACCAGTTGTTTTTTAGATGAAAAGTGTGCAGCAGTTCATTGAAAGCCTGTCTGTGTTTTTGCAGTTGTTTGATTACATAGCTCAGTGTGTAGGAGACTTCCTGGACTACATGGGCATGAAGAAGGCTCGTCTTCCTGCGGGCTTCACCTTCTCTTTCCCCTGCGAGCACACAGCTGTTGACAAGGTCAGTGTGCATATTAGAGAGTAATTTCAAAGCTGTTTGAATGTGTTAGGTTACATTTTCTAACGGCTGACAGACAGCAAAAGGAGAAACATCCATTTTGTGACTGCTGGTCTGTTCATAGTGCACATTGGTGAGCTGGAACAAAGGTTTTAAAGCCACAGACTGTGAAGGACGCGATGTTGTCAGCATGCTGAGGGAAGCCATCAAGAGACGCAACGTGAGTAGAAGCGCACAACCACCCATTCACCAGCTAAGAAGGAAGATCTGGGTTTTGCCAGATGAGACAAATAAAGTTTGCAATCTTTCCTATTTGTACATGTTTGTTTATATAAGATGCACAAAACCTCACAATACATTTAATGTAGGTTTTGATGAGAAATGAAGTGCGGACTTTCCGACGACCCTAGAAAAAAAACACAACATCGCAACACAAGTCAACCCTATTTGTACCTTTATTTTTTCTGTGTGTGTGTGTGTGTGTGTGTTTGTACCTGTAGGAGTTTGACTTGGACGTGGCTGCAGTAGTCAACGACACAGTGGCGACTATGATGAGCTGTGCCTATGAGGACCCTCGATGTGAGATTGGACTGATCGTTGGTATGAGGACTTACATTCTTTGCTAAATATTTTGGCTATTTGTCAGTAACGTCAGACTTGTGTTTGTTTTCCAGCTAAGACTTTTATTTCGTTTATAGTTGTGTTAAGCTGTAAGAAATGCCAGTTAGTGTGCGTTGCCAAAGGTGACAAATAGTCTCTGTTTCACAGGAACTGGCTGTAATGTCTGTTACATGGAGGAGTTGAAGAACATCGAGAAGAATGAACGAAAGACAGGAGAAAGAGGAAAGGGGACGCCTGAAGGAGAGGAGGAAGAGGTAGAAGTGTTTTTTTAACAAGCTGGGTGCAGTTATATAGATTTTTGGAGGATAAACCACATATTAACCCATCGTTTGTTTCTGCTCTCAGCAGGATGATGGGAGGGGAAGCGAGAGGGCGGAGGGCCGTGCTGGCATACTGAAGATGTGCATAAACACAGAGTGGGGAGGTCTGGGGGACGACGGCTCTCTAGATGACATCATCACACCTCACGACATCGAGGTGGACCAACACTCCCTGAACCCTGCGAAACAACGGTAAGAAAACCTCACTCGTTGTGTGTGTGTGTGTTGACCTCTGATTCTTGGCCATCCAATTGACACGTGTTTGAATGTACGTTTGATCGGACATCGGGTTTTGATTTCTTTGCATATTTACGGGGACATTCTCATACCTGTCAATATTGATATGGTTTCTTTTGATCATGTGTTTCGGCCTCGTATTTCTTACTGCATACGTCTATGAATATTGATGTGTGTCACGCTTCAGTGACTCTGTGCGTGTGTCTCGCGGTCCATGTGGATCTAACGCCTTTGTGTCTTTGCGTTCATGCAGGTTTGAAAAGCTGACAAGTGGGATGTAATTTAGGAGAAGTTGTTCGCTAGGTGTTGTTGAGATTTTAACCAGAGGGAGGATTACTTCTTTAGAGGACAAGTTCTCTGAAGCTTTAGAACATCAGGAATATTCCGGAAGCATTAACCTCTCACTATTCGAGAGGGTGGAAGAAACTCTTGTGTGTATTCGTGGTACATACTTTGTATACTTTTTTTTAAT